AAATTTCTTTATTGACGATTTTTCCCTGTAGCAACGCTGGCACATCCCTCTGATTAGCCTCATTGATGGGATTCGTTCATTACACGTGGGACAAGAACCGTACCGAATGTTATCCATTTTGTCACGGAACTTTTGCAAGATCTGATGTTCATCTTCACTGATGGTAGTGGCTGAAAGTGGTGCAACATGTATAGCTAAGTTATCTCCTTGGTTTATTTCTTGATTTCGCGCTGCTGTTTCAATTCTATTTTGTATATTAACATTTCCTTGCGTTAATCCATCCCGTTCTTGTCTGTTACGATCTCGCAATTCACGTTTACGTTCACTCTCGTGATTAACACGCACATTGCGTTCTTCGGTGGTCTCATTTGAATTCTTTTCTCTTCTTTGTTCGCGTATGCTTTCAAGTCGTGCCTCATGTTGCTCAGATGTTTCTTTATCTCTCTTTTGTCATTTTCGTTCGCGATCATGTGCAAGACGTGCCTCGCGTTGTTCTTGTGTCTCCCTACTTTTGTAATATCGCTTTCGAAGTGTTTCAGGGTTTGTAGACATTTTATAGCACAGATTTCAGTAGAAAAATTTTATAGTACAGATTTTATCATTTATTTTAGTTAAATTGCGAATCTTTATTATTATTTCTTGTGAATGGTTACAAAATATTTATTACTTTTAAATAGATTTTTACAAAATAAATATTTTTGGTTTAATTTTATTTAATTAGTAACTTTGATAATCACTTTGATTTAATTTTCTTTTTTAGCCGAATATTAATTGTGTTGGTCCTAAGTACCCAAAATTAGTAGGCCGAAACAATACATTATTTTTTAGGTTTTCTGTGATACACTCATAACATATATATATAACGATAATTAATGCATTGTTTATTTAAAGCGTAGTTGTATAGATCATTTCTACTTTAAGCAATATTTTAAATTTTTTTAATGATTGCTTACTATTGTCACGTGAATGCGTATGTCTGAGCTCCGGACTTAACAACGGCCGTTGCCGTTTCCCTAGTGTTACAAATTATAAGATCGAAAATCTTATCTACATCAGGCCGCGGCATAAAAGCTCAAAAAAATTAAAAATTTTTTTTTTTTTTTTACTTTTACAGTCATGCCAAAATCATTTTCTGGATCAACGGCTTTCGTAATTTGACTTTCAAATTATTTTAAACAATTTTTTTAATTAAAAAAATTGAAAAAAGATTTTTATTTATGATGAATAGGACCATGCAATGGCAGGAATTACAGCAGGAGCTATGACCACGATTTTATTACATCCATTGGACTTGATAAAAACCAGATTTCAAGGTGGGTTAACTTGGTAAGTTTCCTATTTCATAATTTCTGTCTTACCGAATTTTTCTCAATTTCTTTAATTAATTTATAATTAACAAATTTAATTTGTTCAATCTTATATTTTAGTCGATGAATCTACAAAACGAAGACGTAGATTTGGTGCTACATTTATAGAAATGAAATATATCGTCAAAAAACACCAATTTATAGGTTTATATCGTGGCGTTACAGCCAATTTAGCTGGTGCTACTGCTAGTTGGGGATTTTATTTTTATTTGTAAATGAAAAAAAAACAAACCTTTTTCTTGTAATGTAATATGTAATCTATTTTTGAGTTTATATTGATTGAAATTTTTCTTATTTTTTTTTTTTTTAATTTTAATTTTTTAGATATGATTTGATTAAAAGAAGGATGGCGGATGGAGATAAGATATCGAAACTTTCTTCTATACAACATTTAACCGCATCAGCCCAAGCAGGTACAATGTCTTTTAAAATTTCAAAATTTAGGAGTAAATTTACTTATATTTGATTTATCTTTAGGCGCAATAACCGCAATTTTTACAAATCCGTTCTGGGTAGTAAAAACAAGAATGTGTACGACCAATCGTACAGATCCAGGAGCATACAAAGGATTATTTGGTTAGTAAAATCTACTTTGAAATTGTTATCTAGCTTTTTTTATTATTATTATTGTTATTAAGTTATAGTTATTTGCTATTATTTTTAGACGGGTTGTATCAGATAAATAAATATGAAGGAATTAGTGGATTGTATAAAGGATTGATACCTGCATTATTTGGTGTATCTCATGGTGCATTACAATTTATGGCTTATGAGGAATTAAAGAGGTGGAGAGCTAGGATTAATCCAGAAAAAGATCGTGATAGATTGGTGTGTACTTAAGAAAGTCTCCGATATGATCAAGTCTGTCAATAGAATTAACGTTGAATATTTTATATATTTTTGATGGATCAATAATTAGGATAACTTGGAATACCTTTTAATAGCAGCAACATCAAAAACGTTTGCAACGGTAATAACTTATCCATATCAAGTTGTTCGGACAAGATTACAAAATCAAAGATTCGAAATAAAATACGATGGTGTTATAGATACGATAAAAAAAGTATACAAGTATGTAAAAAATCTTTGGTTTTTTTATTATGAACTCATCTTTAAGAAGGTTTACTATTTCTTTTATTATTTTTATATTTGATAATTAAAGGGCCGAAAGTATCCTGGGATTTTATAAAGGGTTAGTACCCAATGTAATACGTGTATTGCCTGGAACATGTACTACTTTCTTGGTGTACGAAAATGTGAGTGCTTTCTTTAGAGAACATGCTAGATATGAATAAGGAAGATATTATAGAATTGCAGATTTATATGTACAATTCAATTAGATTTGAAAAAAATATTGGCAGACCTACCTTTAAATACATATATTGTTGTCTTATCATTGAAAATCAATAAATAAAATTGCTCAATCTACATTATTAAGTCTATAATTTTACAAATGTTTGTTATTTTATCTGCATTTTTAAATTTTAGTATATTTTTTGATAGTAAGCTTTATATCTTAAATACAATGTTATTAAAGAATTTAAGCAACTATTTTATTTAAAGAGATCAATTACAATAATAATTTAATAAAAGAATAAATTTTCTATTAAATTAATTAAAAAAAAAATTATAATATATTAATATTTAAAATTTAAAGATTTAAATAGAGTAATTAATTAAAAAATATTATATAATATTCTGTTACAAATATTTATTATTTCATAAAAAAAATTATATATAATCTTATAAAATATTAAATATTTTAGTAAATAAAAAAAGAAAATATCAATTTTATAAAGATTCTTATTATTTTAATAAAAATATTTATATATTATTTTATAAAATTACTTTATAAATAAAAATCTTCTAAAAAATAAAATTTATAAAAAAACTTTTATTTAAATCATTTATTTTAATTAGCATTTTATATTTCGATTATATAATATTAATATATTATATTATATGATTAAAAATTATGTAATAAAATAAAATCATATAAATAAAAAAATTTTACAATTTTTTTTCATTTTACTATTATACTTAAAGATGTTTCCCATAATTATTTTTAAATTTCAATTGAATTGTAACTTAATTACATCATAAGGAAATTTAATTACGTCACAAGTTGTAACTCAATTGCATCATTTTTTTTTAATTATGGTGATCATCTTTAATTATATTCTTTTAAATTTAGTTTTTTTATAAACACATTATTTGTTTTTTTGTTTTTAACATTCTTTAACTTTTATAAATACCTCCTTTATTTTAGTAACATTTTGAGAATTTTAAGGTAAGACTTTTATTATTTATTTTTATGTAAATAGCTTTAATTATTAATTATTTTTCAATGAATTTTTTAAAAATAAATATGAAAAAATTAATATTGAAAATAAAAAAATTAATAGAATTAATTATGAAAAAAGTTTAAAAAATTTTTTTTCTAATAATCTCATAATTTATTGCTATTTCTTTATAATGAAATATCTAAAAAGTTAAGAGAAACTTTGATTATACTTTTGAATAGCTTTCAAATTATATATCAGAATAATTTTTGATTATTAGATCATATATATTTAGTTTTGTTAACTTATGGGTAAACAAATTAGCTTTATGTGAAGACTATAAGATTAAAGATGACGCTGCAATTAGTTACAACTATGTAATGCTTATTTGTCATCAGTGTTAGCCTTTTGGATTAATGGACTTTTGGACCATTGGACTATTAGACTACTGAATTTAGTCCATTCCAATTCCATTAAAATTTTGGACTTTTGAACTATAGACTTTATCAAATAGCTATAAATTTATATTTAATTTTAACAATTATTATGTAAATCATTTTATTGATATTTATTAGAATTTTTTAAATAATTAGGTTCTCTAAACCTGAAAAATTCAGATCAGTTAATAAAAATTATTCTAGTTAAATGATTTTATTATTGTCTAAAATTTTTAAGTTAGACTAGTATTATAAATTTAACCAGAATTATAATATATAAAATTATAATTTGGCCAAAATTATATAATCTGAGTCCATTTGAATTAGAATTGGACTAGACATCTCTATTAGGTCTAAAGTCCAATAGCCCATTATTAGAAATTGGACAAGGTCTAATTCTAACACTGTTTGTCATTGATTGCAACTAGTTGCAACTCAATTTTTATTAATATTGCAACTAATTGCAATCTTATAATGCTTATTTATCACCAGTTGCAACTAGTTGCAATATTATCTTTATACAAGATAAATATTTTAATAAAAATAGTAGTATTTATTAAGTATATATTTAAATGTTAATATGTAAAATTAGAAAGTTAGAGTTAGGTTTAAAGATTAAAGATTAAGATTAGAATTAGAGATTCAGATTAAGATTAAGAAATTAGAGTTAAAGTTAAGGTTTAGAATAGATAATATTAAGATTAAGAATTAGAGATTATAAAAATTAGAGATTAGATTAGGATTAAAAATTAAAAATTAAAGATTAAGGTTAATATTAGAATCAAAATTGATTCAAAATATTTTAGCATTTAAAATTGAATTAAAATATTTTAAGATTAAAGATCATTTTAATAATGCTGAAATTGTTTAAAAATGAACAAATTGTAATTTATTAAATAAAAAAATATAAAAAAAATAGACATACTTATCTAAATTATTTAAATAAAACAAATATTCTTACTTAATACCTTTGTTAATTATATTTGAATAGCTAAATTTAAATTGCAATTATATAATTTATAAATTATAAAGATTTATATGATATAAATTTTTAATAAAATATTTATATATTAATTATATGATATATATAATATAATGGTATTTAATAAAAATAATTCAGGATGGTAATTATAAATGTTCTTAATAAAATTTATATAATCTTACAAATATAATCTTATATAATAAGGTCTGTAGACTTAAATAACTTTATGCAATCTTATATAAATTTATATATACAATCTTATATATAGGTTTACATAAACTTATACTTAAAATATTTCTAATAATATTTATAATATTTAATTAATTTTTTATTAATATTTTATTATTTGAACTTATAATTTTTAAAAATAACATCTTTAAATTTTTAAATAATTAGTAAACAAATAAATATTTAATTAGTTATATTTAATCGTTGTTAAATAAAATAAAGTTACTAATGCAAATAATAAATTCATTATAAAAATTTAAAGGAATTTGTATAAAAATAACTAAGTTCAAGTTTATGTATTAGGAATTTATCATGTTATTATCGATACCAAAAATCATGTGAATTTAAATAATTTAGGTAACGAATAACAAATTTAGCTAAAGCGCATGAGATTTAACGATCTCTAAAAAAAAAATATTTATTATTTCAAATAACTTCCTAATTTGTCACCCTTTTTTTTTTTGAAGAATTTACCATGTGTAAATTCATAAATTCACAAGAATTTCAATTTTGCATGTGGGGCATGCGAGATGAAATAGTTGTTGCATTATTTTTCACAATAGTAAATTTGGCGTTTTTTAAAAATTTTTGAATATAAATTTCGGCGTGTTTCCCATTAGAAAAAAAAAAAAAAAAAAAAAAAAAAAAAAAATTTTTTAAACTGATTAATTTTACGAATTTAAAATTTTAAACGATGAACCCAACAAGCAAACAATCAATTCTTCTCGATGGTAATGATGGTAAGAATAAGAAATTTTCCAAAAAAGCATTGATTTATTAAGACCTAACACGCACTTATCCTCTTTCTCTCTTTCTTAACAGAAAAAGATTCCAATTATGCAACTTTTCCAATCACAGAAAAACGTAATAATTTACAATTAGTACAAAATCCTTCATCATCGTCCACCGATTTTAACGTAACTGATGGTTACGTGGTAATTCGTTATCTTATGAACCCAAGAGAATTAAGAAAAGATCATCCAGTATGGCATTATTTTTATCTATGTACATTAATATTTGCGGCTTTTGTTTCTCTTTTTATTGGACCTGTCATATTTGGTATGTTGGCAGCTATTGGAGGCTTAGCTACCCCTTTAGTGTTATCACTAATGGGTGGTGGTTTAGGTTTGATTCTTGGCATTGTATTTGGTGTTGTTTTCTCGGTCGTTTGTATCGTGGCTCTTGTAAGAGCTCTTGGTTGGAGTGCCGAATGGGTTTTAGAAACTTTATGGTTTGGTGGTAATGATTTAATGGAAATTACAAAAGAACAAATTTTCATGTTAATTAGTCCTCCTCGTCACCATCAAGAATAAAGAAATGATTTTGATGGAATCGTTTTGAAGATCAATTGAGAGATAACTTTTTTTTTATTTTTAAATTATAGATAGGTTTCATTTATAAATAAATATATATATTTTATTATACATTTATTAATAAAATTATTTTTGAAGATACTTTGGGATGTTTAAAATACAAAAAGATTTAAAGTACAACTTTCCAAATGCAATGCTTATATTTCGTAATTTCTAAATTTTTCATATAAATCATCTCGATTTCCACTTGGAGTAAAATTCCAAGCCGATTTTTTATTTATCGGTAGATTATTTTCTGCCGCAAGTGTATCGGTACTTATATTTGTTGAATCATCATTTGTGATTGAAAGTGCTTCTTTAAGTTGTGGTTGCCAATGAACAGCCTATATTTTATCAAATGAATTTCTCATTAATACTTTCAGTTTTTCAACGTGAGAATTATAAAAAAAAAGAACAACGTACATGTCCCTTTTTAACGACTAATTCTCTCCACATTATGTAATTAATTTTGATAGATCCATTTCTCCAATTATCATAATATTTACGTTCTTTTTCATCAACAAGAATTTTATATGCTACAGATAACTTTTGAAATTGCTTTTCAGCTATATAAAATTAAAAAAATGGAAGTTTTTTTTTTTTTTTAAAAAAAAAAAAAGGTATTATGTCTGTATCAGATATCATAAAGAAGAAAAACATGATACATTATTGAAAGTACCTTCTTTTTTATCTTGATCATTGGTAACTTTATCCGGATGACAATTTAATACGCGCTTTTTATATTCCGTAGAAATTTGTTCTGTCTAATTAGTCGTTTAAAAAATTAAAAAAAAAAAAATATGAAAACTTTTCAAAAAAAGCAACTAGTTTTTAAAAGATACTTTACCGTACTTGATGAAACACACCCAAGCTCTTCATATAAATTTTCATAAAATTTATTATCGTCAGAATTATTATTTTTCATAGATTCTAATATCGAATTCAAATCCATCATGAAAAAAAATGAAAAAATTGGTATTAGTAATTATTTTTTATCCATAAGGTTATAATTAA